AGAACCATCCATATCATGGTCCTAACGGAGCCAAGTATTCACATTAATGAGCAAATAAAATGACATACCTAAATATAAATAATTGTTCGATTTCACCTGGACTTATCTTTAATCATTTTTTCCAAAGATAGACTCTGTTCAATATAAACCATGAAATCATACACAAGGCTTCCTAACCTGGCTTCTAGGTGAGGACTATGTACAGCTTGGTTGCTTCTTGACCACCAAGAAGATGGGGCCAACCTTCCAGTGTGTTGGGGACTCACTCTCTACTTATCCTCTCCAAGTCACAGTTTCAATTCACAGAATCCAGAACCAAACCTTCATGGTGTCTGGACCACAGGTGACAAAACCACAACCTGGGCAGCCTTAGGCTTGAAGAAGATGTGAGGCACACCCCCTTGTCTTGTGTGATTATGTGCCATTTTTACTTCAAGAGGTGCAAGGCAAGTTGAAGTCCATTATGAGTCATCCAACACCAAATCCTCTAACAAAGATGAACCAACTATACCAACAAAGTTTGGTGATCCAATGAATTAAATTCAATATATTAGGAGCAAATCCAGCCCTGTGAGCCAACCCAGTCCCAGAACACTGGCAGATCAGGACTGAGCTAGCAAACAGTTCCAGAGTCAATGATCTCCACCAGAACAGGTCAAACTCAAAGCCAGGGACTTCTGCATGAGGGGATCTAGACCAGGATTTACAGAAACAGATCAAAGCCAGAAACCTAGGCCAAAGTAGGCCTGAGACAGCAAACTCCAAGGGAGCAGAGCAAAGTACAGGAGTGTTGAGCTATCTCCAGGAACATGCAGTAACCACTGGGGTAACTAGAACTGTGACACTGACTGTACCACGAGGATACATCTCTGAGGTTTATATTCACTGTCACTTAGAAGATTATTCAACAGAATCTCAGACAACCCCAACTACACCTATTAGAGGAAAAGATGAGTAGAAAAGATCACACACCATGCCACAAAGAGCAACACAACACCAGTAAAACCTAAAGACCCTACAACAGCAAGGCCTGAACAACCAAATATGGATGAACCAAAAGAAAATGACCTAAAAATAACTTAAAGAGAATGTTTGAAACTCTTAAAGATTAAATGAGAAAATCCCTTTAAGAAACTGAGGAAAAGTAAACAGAAAATTGGAAGATATCAACAAATCAGTTAAAGAAAACCAAGAAAAAAAATTAAACATACAAAAGAAACTATCCAGGACTTGAAAGCTGAAATAGAAACAATAAAGAAAACATAACCCGAAGAAATTATAGAAACAGAAATCATGAGAAAAAGATCAGGAACCACAAACGCAAGCATGAACAGCAGAATACAAGAGATGGAAGAGAGACTCTCAAGCGCTGAAGATACAATAGAGGAAATAGATGCATACGTTAAAGAAAACATTAAATCTAAGAAAAGCTTAACCCAAAATATGCAGGAAATATGGGACACCATGAAAAGTTCAAATCTTAGAATAATAGGTATAGAAGAAGGAGAAGTTGTTCAACTCAAAGGCACAGAAAATTTATTTAACAAAATCATAGATATTAATCAAAATCTACTAAAGAAAGATATGCCTATGAAGATACTAGAAGCTTACAGAATACCAAATAGACTGGACCAAAAAAAAGTCCTCTTGTCACATAATAATCAAAACACTAAACATACAGAATAAAGAAAGAATATTAACAGCTGCAAAGGAAAAAGGCCAAGTGACATATAAATATAGACCTATCAGAATTATACCTGACTTCTCAGTAGAGACAGTGAAAGCCAGAAGGTCCTGGTCAAGCATTATGCAGACATTGAGAGACCACGGATGCCAGCCCAGACTACTATACCTAATAAAACTGTCGATCACCATAGAAGGACAAAACAAGATATTCCATGACAAATCTAGATTTCACCAATACCTAGCCACAAACCCAGTTCTACACAAAATACTAGAAGGAAAGCTCCAACTCAAGGAATATGGGTACACCAGCAAAAACACAGACAACTGATGGTCTCATAGCAGCAAATCCTGAAGAAGAAAAAAATTGCACAAATTAACATCACCAACAATGAAAACTAAATTAACAGAAGATAGCAACCACTGGTCATTAATATTCCTTAATATAAATGGACTCAATTCACCTATAAAAAGGCACAGGCTAACAGATTGGATATGAAAACAGAATCCATCTTCCTTCTGCATACAAGAAACACATCTCAACCTCAAAGACAGAAATCGTCTCAAGAGTAAAGGGTTGGGAAAAAATATACCAAACAAATGGACCTAAGAAATAAGTGGGTCTAGTTATCCTAACATTGAACAAAATAGACTTCAAGCTAACATCAGTCAAAAGAAACAAAGAAGATCATTTCATATTAGTCACAGGAAAAATCCAGCAAAAGGAAATTTCAATACTGATCATCTATGCCCCAAATACAAGGGCACCCTCATGTGTAAAAGGAACACTTTTAAAGCTTAAATCATACATTAAACCCCACACACTAGTAGTGGGAGACTTCAACACTCCCCTCTCACCACTGGACAGGTCAATCAGACAAAAAATGAACAAACAAGAGAAATAACAGATGTTATGACCTAAATGAACTTAACAGAAATCTATAGAATATTCCATCCAAACAAAAAGAATATACCTTCTTCTCAGCACCTCATGGAACCTTTTCAAAGATTGACCCCATGCTCGGAAACAAAACAAACCTCAACAAATAAAAAAATAATGTAATAACCCAATGTACCTTATCAGATCACCATGATTTAAAACTAGAAGAAAGGATATTTAACAAGTGCTGCTGGCATAACTGGATTTCAACATGTAGAAGAATGAAAATAGACCCATATCTATCACCATGCACAAAACTCGAGTCTAAATGGATCAAAGACCTCAACATAAAGCCAGCCACACTGAACCTTACAGAAGAGAAAGTGGGAAGTACATTTGAACGCATTGGCACAGGGAACCACTTCCTAAATAAAACCCCAGCAGCACAGACACTGAGAGAAACAATTAATAAATGGGACCTCCTGAAACTGGAAAGCTTCTGTAAAGCAAAGAACACAGTCAACAAGACAAAATGACAGAATTGGAAATTCCCTACAGAATGGGAAAAGATCTTCACTAGCCCTACATCAGACAGAGGTCTGATCTCCAAAATATACAAAGAGCAAGAAATTGTATGCCAAAAGATCACATAATCCAATAAAAAAAATGGAGTACAGACCTAAAGAGAGAACTCTCAACAGAGGAAACTAAAATGGCTGAAAGACACTTAAGGAAATGTTTAACATCCTTAGTCATCAGAGAAATGCAAATCAAAACAACTCTGAGATTCTATCTTACACCTGTAAGAATGACCAAGATCAAAAGCACTGATGACAACTTATGCTGGAGAGATTGTGGAGAAAAGGGAACACTTCTGAATTGCTGGTGGGAATGCAAGCTGGTACAAACCCCTTGGATGTCAGTGTGGCGATTTCTCAGAAAATTAGGAAACAACCTTCCTCAAGATCCAGCAATATCACTTTTGGGTATATATCCAAAGGATGCTCAATCGTGCCACAAGGACATGTGCTCAACTATGTTCATAGCAGCATTGTTTGTCACAGCCAGAACTTGGAAACAACCTAAATAATCTTCAACTGAAGAATGGATAAGAAAATGTGGTACATTTACACAATTGAGTACTGCACAGTAGAAAAAAAATAATGACATCTTGAATTTTGCAGGAAAATGGATGGAGCTAGAAAACATTATTTGAGTGAGGTAACCTGAACACAGAAAGACAATTATCACATGTACTCACTCATAGGTGGATTTTAAACATAAGAAAAAAGAAAACCAGCCTACAAACCACAATCCCAGAGAAGTTAGACAACAATGAGGACAGTAAGAGAGACTTACATACATCTAATCAACATGGGAAGTAGAAAGTAGAAAAAGGCAAGATCTCCTGAGTAAATTGGGAGCATGGGGACCTTGGCGAGGGCTAAAGGGGGGAGGGGAGAGGCAGGGAGGGGAGCAGGGAAAAATGTAGAGCTCAATAGATATAAAAAATCCAATATATTATCTTCACAATAATATATTGGGGGTTACATGTACCTTTCATCCTACATGGTCAACATTCTCAGATCAGGGGAGTCAAGACCATACTACAGTCTTCATGTGCCCTGAGTCACAATTGGATATTGTGTAAGGATGTGTAGGGTGCACCCAGGAACACCCTAGGCCTAGGTATTTTCTGGACTGCCACAGATCAAGAACAGTAACCTAATCTCAAGTGGACACAGGCCATAGACACAGCTCCAGAATGAGGGGACACACTTTAACTCAGGAGGAGGTGGTCTGATGAGTAATGTAAGTGAAAGACCATGAAGGGACATTATTGGCAGCGAGGCAGCTCCCTGATTACCAACGAGTCTGGGGCAAGCTTAACTTCAAGGGCATATGAGCCACACAATCAGTTCATTTGACCCAGGAAAATCATAACCTCAAAGGATCCAGGACCACACCATGGCATGCAGCAAGACAAGGACTCATTTTAATGACCAAACAACATGGCCATGCCTTAATATAAAAAAATGCATAAACTGCTCCTCCAGATTTATCCTGACATCACTGACATCAGATGGGGTTTTTTTGTTTTTGTTTTTGTTTTTGTTTTTTCAAATCAGCTCCTATATTGCTTGAAATATTTTGTGGGTATCTAAGCTGTGAAGAACAAAGACACTTTGGAGCATCACAGGAAAACACCATGAGGGAAGGAGTTACAATGGGCTAGAAGAATAACATCATGTATGAGAGACCAGCAAGTCTCCTTGGAGAGGCTGAGATTGACTCTGTCTGACCCAGAAGGCAGAGGCATTAGCCCCTGGAGGGACCAGAGGAACTGGAGGCAATAGATGGGTGGGAGACCGCAAAGGAGTAGAGAGAGAAGCAAAAAGAGAATCAAACGGTTGTCCCAAGATCTCACTTAAGCTACCTTGGGAGTCTTCAGGCTGCTTCCTCCACAGCCTTGGGGTGGATGCGGGATCGTGCCAGTGCTGCACACCGCTGTTGAGACACAGGCAGCAAGAGCGCCCAGCCAGTATCCAGTGCCTTCCAACCTGCCTGTGCCCTGACTGGGGTCTGCCGCAGCGGCCGAAAGGAGTCCGTTAGTTCTGAAGAATGGCAGTTATCCCAGGAGCCCCGTTGGAGAGTCTCGAGTGCATCTGTGTCCGCGCTCTGAAGGGCCTGGTTCAATCCAGTCAGCGTTCTCTAAAGTTAGGCTCCGCGAGGGTCCTCTGCTGCCCTGACTGCCAGGCGCCTAAGTAAAGAACTTCCAGGTCTCTCACTGCCGCTGCTGACCCCTGGCCGCCTTGAGGAGAAGCGCACCGGGAGCTTTCTCCTTGCCCTGTGACGATCAGTGCCGGGCATGCGCACAGCCTCTCTGGCAAGTGAAAACCTGTTATAGCCTGCCTGTAAATAAAAAATCAAAGGATGAAGCTCTACAATTGAGGCAGGGAGGAAACCTTGCACACCATCAAGCTCTCTATGCCAGACCCAGCTCACGTACTAGGAAAGCAGGGAAACCACGGTTTATTAGGATTCAGTCACACTAGGATGTTGCTAGCATTCTCCCAGCTTTGTTAAAATGTTAGGGACCTTTCTTGGATCCTCTCAAATTTCTCAAATGCTGTGGTTCTGATTTATCAAAGTGATATGGCAAGGCCATATCTGATGCCAAAGTCTTTACACTGCAGGATCTGAAGACTAAAGATTTTTAACTCTGAGCAGTTTTGCAGGGATAAAAAGTAGTTCTCAGTGCTGATCAAACACAAGCTGAGAGCAAAGGGAATTAACAACGGGAAACTGTACAAAACGATCTCACCACATATTGCATACATGAGTAGTTACAGGCAGTGTGATAATTATGTGGATAAAAAACACTCCTGCAAGTATAGGGCTTGCGGAGGTGGAGGGAAGGAGAAAAGGATTATGTGCGTGAGGTAGTTTGGTGAGTGATAAATCACAGAAGAACAGGATTTCAACAATGGATTGTTAGTTTGCAGCGATGGTCAATTAACACCTATGGCCTCATAGGTGCAAGGCTGCCCCCAGCTGCACCCCCAGTTTCTATGCGTAGGTGTTGAATAGTAGTAGTTGGGGATCGCCCTTAGGAGGAACAGATGCAATCCAGAGAAAAATATTTTAGTCTGGGTAGCTGCAAATAAGGTTTCCAGGATCCACTCAAATGTTAGGTATACTAGATGGTGAAAATACTTCACAAATTTTACACATATGCAAGTGTCATATTATGCAATGGACCGGCATTTTTAATTGCTCATTGCGTCGATTTAATTTTTAGTGATGTTCTGTTATATAACTGGATTAAATAAAAGAGGAAGGTTCTTTTATGCTGGACACTGGGTCTCATATAGACCAGGCTGGACTTGAACTTCTGTTTATTATTTTATTTTATTTGAGACTGGCCACATATTCGCTATGTAGATGAGGATGACCTTGAGCGCCTGACTCCTGTTTCTACCCCTGAATGCTGAGATTATGTGAAGATGCTCCAACAATTGGTTTTCTGCAGAGCTGGAGATGAGACCCAGGATTTACTGAGTTCCAGCTAAGCACTCTTCAGTTGACCTCCAGTCCCAAATATTTGATTCCATTTCTCTGCACAGGAGATTAGGCCGTGACTCTGGCACTAAGGACGCAGTAGGGTAGGACTCACCACTGAGCCCCCTGTGTCTGGGCTCAGGTCTGGGCCTGCCCTGACTGCAGGTGCATCTGGCTAAGGAAGCAGTACACAGTGAAGCTCCAGAGTGGCCAATGCAGAAGCTGCACAGGAAGGTCAGAGCCAGCTGGGAGAGAACTCCTGTGCCCTGCTGAGCTACTGGACAAGGTCCTTGAATAGCAGGGAGCCTTCCAAGTAGAGAAGGGCCGTGTGCATTGCCATGATGACTGGAGGGGCAGAAGGATGGGCCAGTTTGTATAGAGTGTGAGCAGAGGCAGGGAGACCATGTAGTGGACAATCCCAGTCACATGTAAGGAGATTCCTTCAAATCTAACTGGGATTCATATCATCCGTCGTGCTGAAGCTACTCTACTTTTGCTAGGAAGGACAATAGGACCAAGGCTACTGATAAAAGAAGGGAGTTAAGAGGGGGCTTCCTTACAGTTTCAGAGAGTGAGTCCATGTCCATCTTGAGAGCTGGTGACAGGCAGGCATGGGGCTGGAGCAGCAGCTGAGAGGTTATATGTTGAGACAACACCCAAATGACAGACAGAGAGACAGAGAGGACCAAGTCTTCCAAAGGAAGAGCCTATGGGGACCATTGTCATTCAAACCCCCACAGGCCTGTGGTTCAAGCTATCTAGAGGTTAAGAAACTATAATTGCTTCTGCCCAAGAGTTTGAGACCATCCTGGGTACCATAAGAAGCACCCACTGGCTGAAAACATTTTACATATCCTGGCTGCACAGTATCATCATTATAATCTGTTCTAAATAGATGGTCTGTTATTGTTCTTGTCTTTCAGAGTCTTCCTACATGACACAGCTGCCCTCAAACTCATGGAGATTCTCCTGCCTCCATCACCACACTTAGCCTTTCAACTTTAATAGGAAACATTTTAAAAATCAGAGACAATATCTTATCCATCTTTGATTTCATCATGGTATCTATATTACTGACTTATATTGTTGTTTGACAAGATATCGTGACAAATGCAAAAAAAAAAAAAGAGATAATTTATCTGACTTCCAGTGGAGGACAGCAGTACATCCTGAGGGAAGGCATTGCAGCAGGAGACTGAGACATTTTCCCACTGTAGAGAGGGAGAGAGATGAGTGTTCATGTTCAGCTTTGTTTACTTTTTACTCCGTCCTGGACCTTAGTCTACGAAACAGAGCCACATAGTGTTAATGCGGGTTTTCCCCTTCTTATTAAATGATTCCCCAGAATCCCTCACAGGCATGCCCAGGGGCTAATACTCTGGATGCTTCTGGATCCCAGCTCATTGGCACCATTACCTATCATGGTGTCCAGTCAACAGTCAGTCTAATATGCTGCGTGTTCATGGCTTACCATTACTACATTCGAGCATTCTTCTCCACGATGAGCATTTGCACGCATTCTCACAAGAACCCTGCATGGTGAGTTCTACTGCCCTAATATGCAAACCAGATTCTGGAGACAAAATGTTCAGTAACTTGTGGACATCCACAGAAGTGGATCTGCTCCACCTTGACTAAAGGTCAGAGAGTTCAGACCTATTCCAGCTCCTTCAAGGTTATAGGGCATGATGTTTGACCTAAGGTGTGACCACAGGATGTCTTGTCCTAGACAAAAGGATGCTTTGCCCTAGGGTGTGGCTACTTCACGTTTTGAGATGTGATGAAGAAATCACTTTGTTTGTTTTTCTTTATCAGGAAGTCTTTTGCTTTCCCCCTTGTGACTGGGGTATATAAGAACCTTGAGTAATGAACTTGGGGTAGATCACTGAACGGCCTCCAGATTCTGTTGTCTCTTGTCTGTTTCTTTCTCAATCCACATTCCTCCCTCCAAGTATGGACGGACAATCTGCTGGACTGGACAGTAGCTGAGGTGTCACAGGGACATCATTCCAGAGCCCACCCCCTGCCACATGGATGAGTCCTCTTTCCCACTGACTGTTCTGTGCCCTGTGGGTCTGAACTTCCTCACCACTGGAAAACAGGTTCACAGACGGCAAGAAGAGCTATTCTTATCACACTTTTAAATCAACGGATCTTGCTTCTTACCTTGTCCTTCAGTGTAACCTTTTTTTTTTTCATTTTAACAAACAATTTAGCTTCCCACTTTGGTTATGGTGAAGGCTGTGACCTGATGTACTATGTTTCATTGATATTCATGGGAGACCCGCCCTTTCCTAAACGTAAACAGAGGAGTGGAAGTGTGTGTGGTGGGGACACATTAGAAGCCAGAGCACTGGATAGAGGGGAAACTGTAGCTAGGATAAAAAATAAACTAATTTTTAAAAAGAACCGATGTATTATCCAAATTTGTGTGGAATGGCTGTGACATCAGGACCAGAAAACCAGGGTGACCCAGGTTCCATAAGCCACCTGAACACTGATTCTCACATCTGTCCCAGTGACTTTGCCCCACCTTGTGGTGGCTGTTTTCTTAGCCTCATGTTGTTGCCCACTGCCTCCTAATTTACACATTTTCACACTTCAGAGCTGTGTTATAAGACATGTGCCTGATGGTGAGATTCCTGCCCTTTCTGGATGGTAGACTCAGTTCTTGAGGCATTTGCTACAGGATGCAAAATAAGCTGCAATGTCTCATCAAGTCTGCCTTTCGGGACCTTACGTTACCCTCTGACTGCAACTTGACAAATCAAAGCCAAGTTTGGTAGATCCGAAATTCTTGGATGGAATGACTGCCTGAGACTCAGCCATTGCACAGGAGCAACACACTAGCCCCTCACTGCTGTTCAGTCCTGCTGAGCTGAGCTCTGATTTCACAACTCACTGTCAAGTCTAGGCCTGGCGAGGGCACTCAGCCCGGAAGGCAGCAATAGAAAGAACCAGCCTGTTCAGCACAGGGTTTAATACGCACTGGAACCACAAAGGCAGCTAACAGATTCATCCTCCCATGGCTTTTGTGGCCCTGCCTATAATCAGTTTCCCTAATGTAAGGTGGTAACCTGAAATGACTTACATGAAACCCTTGGCATTGTTATGAACATAGGCAAGACTTAGGATGTGTAGAGCTAAAGCCACTTACAAGAAGGAATCTGTCACATGTGAATGCACACATGTGGAAACTGGCTTTGGCCAAGTAAATATTTCATTGTTTGTCTCTGACATATGTGTTTCTGGACCAGTGAGGTCTGAGAGAACAGTGGGCACTTGAGAAACACAAACCACAGGACAAAGCGGTGCTCACCTCACACACAACAGGATGAAAGGTGCTGACCCCAGATGTCGATGGGACAATATAAGCACAAGAGGGATGGGTTACATTGTTTTCCTGATGTCCTGGATTAATGCCTGTCCTGCAGTCTTCCAGGAGATGTTTTGATGACAATGCATATTAGCTATTGGTTGCCGTGTAGTAGGACAGTCCAGCCGTTTGCAAACTCGGATCTGAGGATGGGGAACAAAGAGGGATTCCCAGTGTTCATTTGCTTCTGTGTCAACACAATCTACTATCTCAAAATAAATCTGTTATAGGAAGAGAGGGAAAATGAAAAATAAGTTTTTCCTTCTCTTTCTCTCTCTCTCTCTCTCTCTCTCTCCTTCTTCTTCTT